GATCCACCCCGGAGGCTAGTCCTGGCGTCCCCAGTCACGGGGAGCTCCTGGCAAGTGAAAAGGAGGTGGCGGTTGCTGGCCCTAAACTTTGATTTGGGGGGGAGGTCAGCATTCACTGGCACACGCTCTGGCCAGCTGGTCGCTTAAACCTCCTAAAGCAGGTGAAGCGGTGGGGGCGATAGGGATCAGGAGAGGAGGAAGGGGGAGAAGAAAGAAGTCGGACCGTCCCCACGTTTTCCCACGTCTCCTCGCGGGCGCTGGGAGGCTCAGCGCTGCCATCTGGCGGCTGCTGCTCCCCAGATTCGGAGCCGGCTGGCGGCAGAGCAAACCCAGGCTCCCCGGGGGTGCAGAGCAAACCTAGGCTCTCTGCCTTGGCAAATGGAGCCCAAGCCCCTGTTCACGCTTCCAGTCTGCGTGGCCCACGCAAACACGCGTTTTCTGCTTGCTCGCATGAGAAAATCGGGGGGAAAGGAATAATGACTTGGCAATGGTATGAAGAACTTACTTGAGCCTACTTGGTGCAAGTCGCTGGTTATGGTAAAAATTGTTAGAAACGCAGGTTTCTGAATCTCTTAGCTCATTCTAAGAGGAAAACTGAATAATAGATTTCACTTACCCTAGAATCCTGTTTTGATATTTTGCAAATAAGAACTATTTCCATATGTTATTTTCAGTACAACACTCCACCCCCCCTCACCCCAAGTCCAGTTACCGTACAATTTCATCAGCCCAAAAGAACGAAGGGCAAGTTATGTCTGTCTATTTGATTGATTGAGAAGTAAAATCATCCTCGGATGGAGGATTCTTTTCCAAAAAGTGTGGAACCCAAAAGCCTGGAGCCTTTCAGTTGACCAAGGTCAATGACATCAGATTTTCCCAGGGCTTCTTCCCTATCAAGCTAAAGTAACAACATGGAACTTTTCCCCCACTTTGTCTTATTTGAACTGAATATTTGTCAGGTCAGACCAGCAACTACAATCATAGTTTCTATAACCAAAGCAAAACCGCACTCTTACAATTCAGTGCAAATCCAGGAGATTTGTTAAACTAATTTCCATCCGCTCCCCCCTCCTCACTTATCCTATAGGAATATATTAAGCAGTGGGATAGAATCTTTTTTCCATCTATACCCCATACCATTTTATGGATGTGAGATTTTATGTTGTGCAGGTGTGTGAGAGCAGAAGAAAAGAACTGCATTAGCAGATATTACATTTACATCACAAATGGAATTCCATTATTTAATGGAATAAAATATATACAATATTTACCTTAATTCAAAATGTCTAACATAATTTGCCAGTGAAGATAATTAGTTTATTAGCCTCAGATTTTTTTTTTTTTTTTTTTACAAAATTATCTTGGCTTTCTGTTAATACAGCTAAAAAAGGAGCATTAAGAATTCTTCATGTACTGCAAAGCCAGCAGAGGGAACACTGAGTACTGATTTAGTAGGGGCCACCAAATATCTGGCATTTGGGGAAAAACGTCAGTAATGGAGAACCGGTTACAAAGCATATGAAGTTAGTTAATTAGGACACAGAAAACTTTTCTCATTATTTGATATTTGGAAGCCCAATACATTCCAGTGTACACATACTTACCAAGTTGGTTAGAAGGATGACTTTGATTAAAAATCATTTGTCACATATTTTCTTACCTTCTAAGAGAACTACTAACACATAAGAACAGATCTACTTAAGAAGTCTAAACGCTTATAATACATATATGAGATATATATCAGATACATAGCAATCATCTTATAAATCAAGGGAAGCTACCACCACCATAGCTCATAAATTGTAAGAGGAACTTTTCTTTTCATTTCAACACTCCTGAAATAGGAGTCTTACAACTAGGGGGATAAGTTTCACTGACAGTTTTTCTTCCTCGGTGGCTGTAATATAATGGTGTGTCTTCAAATTTGTTGGATTTATTGAAATACAGATAATACAGCTAACAAAAAAATGAGGCCAGGGGCTATCTTTGAGTGCCTCTTTTCAAAAACCTGTGTGCTTTAAGCGGAAACATAATTACTGTGACTGCTTTGATTAACTTCCACTTTTCTTTCCTCCATCATATTTGATGGTGGAAGTAAAAATGACTTTAGAAACATAATCAATAATATTGATACTCACCTTGACTGAATTACCAAACTAGTTATGCTCTCAAATTATTATTTAGTACAAATCTCCAAGTAAATATATCCTTTTTTTAATCCTAGTGAAAATAATGCTTTTATAGATAATAGCCCTCTTAAAATACATTTTTGGTCAGATTGGTTACATTTAGGGGTGTGTTTCTAGGGATACCAGAGAAGATGAAATGTATCATCTTGTTATGCAGAAAAGGTGGCTGCTTTTATTTTGGTTTTTTTTTTTTTTTTTAAGGTTTTGTTTCCCCTTCTTTAAAAAAAAAGTATATAACTTGAGTAGCTAATGGTCGAAAATTATTTTGCTTTAACCCACAAAAACATTCTTGCTTGTGGTTGATCCTTAGAGATTCAGTGAGATGTCTCTATAGGGTGTTCTTTCCAGTAAAATTCTAAACCTGACCACCTGGGCCTCTTGCCAGCCTACATACTTTAAAAGTTTGAAAAGACAAATAGAACTCTGCTATCCAGTACCAGTTTGAGCGGAATCGAAAGTTGACTTAATTATTTTGGATTGTCCTTACCTAACTATCTATGGTAATCCTGATGAAAATCAGTTTACTATCATAGTGCTAAGGAAAGCCAGTATTTACTAAAATTCTAATTTTCCGACCTTGGGAAAGCAGTAAATTTTCTGGCAAAATTAGCGTGTTTTCTGAACACCCAGGCATCCTTTCCTTGCCACATTCTGTACTCTGCATGAAGTTCCTTTCTTTTAAAATCATTGGAATGACGGGGTTGGCACTATTGTCCTCGAATGAGTAACATTTATGATCTATGATTTTTCTTCACATCAGTGGCCATCCTCAGTTTTAGTCTCTTGAACAACACTCAGCTTTTACCAGGAGTGTCTCTGGCATCTGAATTAGAAGGAAAGGTATTAGGATTGGCTGAAGGCTTACAATAACATCAGGTGCTTTATGGTCACGAGCTCATTGTACCCCCACAACAATCCTCTATAAAGTAGCTCCCAGTGTTCCCACATCATATGTGAGGAAAGCTGAGACTTGGCCACATCCTCAAGGTTACAAAACTCGCAAGAAAAATTAGCAGCTAGGTCTAATACGAATCCAGAGGCTCTAGTCTTTTCTGCTATCAGTTATCACCTCCTTCTACAGTTTCTCTTTGTCTTGGTCTTTTATTTCCATTCCAGTCAAGTACCCAGGATATAGGAGGAAACATATAAAAAGAAAAGGAAGACTGTGGTTTGGGAGGAGGAGGGAGATAGAGAGCGAAACAATCTTTCATTTCGAAAACGTGGAAAACAAATATTGGGAAAGCAGAATGGATTTCCAGCCTTTACTCACCATTTCCATCCTATACAAAACTCTATAGAAATTCACCTAGTAAGGTAATTATGCGTTGCAAGGGAAAGCTCCTCTGCTTGAGCTATCCAAGATTTATAGGAGAATTTAAACCATTAAATAACCACCTTTGACCCTTGTTTGGTTAAGAGAGTAAGCAATTATGGCCCCAAAAAGTCCTCTTCTGCTTTTCACAAACAGCAGAGAAATTATTCCGAAGGGATTTACACAATACATCAACATCTGTGCTGTACCTAGAGTTGTTAAAATAATTGTGAGGACAGGTGTCTAGGTACCACTTTCTTAATGGTTTTCCATCTCCACCGATTTATTGTTGTGGCTTTCCCTCCCCCCTTTTAACATCTTTGGCTCTAAAGACGGAGCCGAGGAACAGATTTTGCACTAGAGGCTGATTCTTTATTCCGATGCTGAAAAGAACTAATAAAAATAAGCACTTGGCTTTTAAGCAGAAAGCTTCCATTTACAGTATTTCAGCCTCCTTCCAAGCTCCTTGTTATCTAACATAATGGTTAGAATACATTTCCGTCTCTCCCCTTAATAATTTCATGCATTAACATCCTCTTCACACACCACACTCACTCACACACACGCACGCGCGCGCACACGCACAGCAAAAGGAAAAAAGAGGCAGCAGAAATCTCAGCTGTACTTCCAGGCCTTTTAAAAAGTTTGCTCTGTAAATTGGAATGAGGTCAGATTTGGAGCTTCTCATTGCACGCGGAGATTATTATTGCATCGGGTTCCAAGCCAATGGGAAGCCCGGGGGAGGGGCTTGGCATGAGGAAGCGTTGGTTACAGCAGATGATTGGCCGCGGCCAAGACTGTGAAAGGATAAAGAGGCGCGAGGCGGAATTGGGGTCTGCTCTAAGCTGCAGCAAGAGAAACTGTGTGAGGGGAAGAGGCCCGTTTCGCTCCCGGGTCTCTAGTTCTTGCACGCTCTTCTCAGAGTCTGCATCGGAGAAGCGCTGCCGTTACCAGCTCCCTGCTTGCAGAAGGGAGGGGAAACATACATTTATTCATGCCAGTCTGTTGCATGCAGGCTTTTCGGCTTCCTACCTGGCAACAAAATAATTGCACAAACTCCTTAGTGCCGATTCCGCCCACAGAGAGTCCTGGAGCCAGAGTCTTTTTTGCTTTGCATTGTAGGAAAGGGACTAAGTGATAGAGACGATGTCGCTTTCCTGAGCTCCCGAGAGCGCTCGTGAACTGGAATCAACGGCTTCGGGGGGGCAAAAAAGACTTGCCTGGGAGGCCGCAAGAGACTTGCAGTGGACGCTTCAGCAACCGGCATTCAAGAAACGCCTCTCCACTCTAGCCCGGTGTCCAGACTCAGAGCCGAGACGGAGCCAGCTGCCGCGCGGCGGGAGGGCGAGAGAGAGGGCGAAGGAGACGCTCCGGCCTGGGAACTATAACTCCCCTGCGAGAGGCGCAGCACTCCTCCCCGCGTCGCTGGGGCACTTCTCTCTCTTCGCCCG